TTGTTGTTTGGCGGGCCTGGGCTGGGGATTCGAACCCGCCACCTTAGGTGTATGTGGCTGGCACCTTAGCTGCTTGAGCCACGGGCACCAAGCCATGGTGTTTGTCTTTGCTAGGTAGAGTCCCTCTTGTAGTTGTGTCCTGTACCTAAGAGGTGTGCCCTATACCTTACATGGTGCCCATTAACTGGGAGCACCCCACTCGCCCTCCCTCCTTCCTTTTCCCCCCAAAAAGTATTTCATTTTTAAAGGCATGTTTTAGCATCAAATGTCTTTGAAGTTCTGCAAGCTGTAGATTTCACTTAGTGTGATCAAATGTTCCTAAGTTCCATTTATGTAGAGAATTTAATTCAGTTACATCAAAATAATAAGATGCTTACAATCTTTCTAATACTTTTGAATTATCAGTACTGTTATCAGATATGTAAATAAGGGATATTTTAACATTTTTTTACTAAAATATTAACAACCAAAATTATCAGATATGTAAATAAGTGATATTTTAACATTTTTTTACTAAAATATTGACAGCCAAAATTGTGACGACAAAAGCTAATCGTAGTAGCTAATGTTTATTTATTGGTAATCGACTATGTGCCAGATACTATTACTAAACTCTTTATGTGGGTTATCTCATTTATCTCGTTTCTAATAGAGAGAAACAAAAATGCTTATGATTTAGCCAAAATACCCTTTTTTTAATTGGGGCAAAAAATCATTTACAAGATAAATATTCCTTAAATAAAGGATAGACTAAAACATGTCTGATTTTGTATGATTATGTAATTTGCTAATTTTAATGTAAATATTTTAAGAAATGAAGTAAAAATATCAGTAATGCTAGATATGAAGTTATTTTGTTCCTTTTTAGGTCTAAATCTACTTAATACCATTGCAAGGGTCTGAATTAATAAATACCTTAAATAATACCCTAAATTTAATAAACAGACTAATGATTATGTCTAAGGATTTGCTTTGGATTTAGAAAGTAACATTAATCAAAAATAATTTTATGTCAAAGTAATTACTATTATATGATTATGTAGCTGTAGATTATCTCATCCTAGACATTATTGTATTAAGTTTGTTTCAGTAAATAAATTATGATGTAACTGTGGCTTTATTCTATTTTTCAGAAAACTGTGAGGGTAGTGATCAATTTTAAGAAAACCCAGAAGACTATAGTGAGAGTTAGCCCCCACGCCTCACTTCAAGAACTTGTTCCTACCATATGTAGCAAATGTGAGTTTGATCCATTTCATACATTGTTATTAAAGGATTATCAATCTCAGGAGCCCCTGGATTTGACAAAATCTCTTAATGACCTGGGACTAAGAGAATTATATGCCATGGATGTCAGCAGAGGTAAATAAGGCTTTTGTTTATTCATTTAGTAGGATGTGTATTTATGTGTGTATGTGCATCATGTTTGTATATGGGTGTTCTCAAGTTCATAATAGCAAGTTAGTGATTCAAGTTAGGAAGTTAGAGAGAGAAGCAATTACATGGGATCAGGAACAAGAAGAGAAAATTAAATGTAAATAAATAAATTCTGTTACTGAAATTGGAATGAAAACTGATCTTTTCAGCTGTCATCTGCATTTTATGTTTGTCTATCAACTTATGGATTTTTTTTGCTGGAATTTAACTCAGTTCTTTATGGATTTGAGACTTAAATAGAAAATAAAAATTTACGTGTAAATTTATTCTAATCAAGCATGAACCTATGTAGTCTTACTATGGTTTTGTATGAGTCTTAATTATTCAAATTTGCAAATTTCTTACCAATTTTTTTTTAAGGTCAGCACTCAAAAAAGCTAGCTTATAAAGTGAATCAATCTAATTCCATACTTTTTTTTTTTTTTTTTTTTTTTTTTGAGACAGAGTCGCACTCACTATGTCACCCTCAGTAGAAAGCCATGGTCTCACAGCTCACAGCAACCTCAAGCTCTTGGGCTTAAGTGATTCTCTTGCCTCAGCCTCCCAATCAGCTGGGACTACAGGCGCCCGCCACAATGCCCTGCTAATTTTTGTTGCAGTTGTCTTTGTTGTTTAGCTGGCCTGGGCTGGGTTCAAACCCACCACCCTCAGTGTATGTGGCTGGCACCATAACCACTGTGCTATGGGCACCAAGCCGCATAAGTTTTTGAAATAGCTTACAGTGTTAATCTATAGAAATTATGTAATGCATTAAAATGTTGAGATTTTACATATGTTGATTGGTATGGTATCTGATAGACGAATGCAAGCTTATATTTATTCACCATGAATCTAGGATAAATATAAGTTTAGTGAAGGAGACAATTATTTACATACTCTGTGCACAGAGAACATCAAACTTGATCATGAGGGTGTGGCTTGATGTAATCCATAGACTACTTTTTCAACTCAGTGATGTTTTATACTTGAATAAACATCATCTTTGCAGTCAATTTACCCTCTTTTATGCCCCTCCTTCTGTAGCCACTTCTGTTACTGCCTTCAGTAAGTCATCTTTACAAGGTAAGACCCATGAATCAGTAGAAACAAATTGTAACATGAAATTGGGCAAATTGAAAATAAGCTTCTAATTTTACCTTAGTCATGTTTTCTTAACATGACTAATGTGTGCATTCTGTAAAAGATTTTAACTTAGAAAATCTTAGTTTTTTTTCTTTCTTAAAAAACAGTAAAGATCTCCCTGCCCCTTGCTTTCTGAATTTAATTATAATTTCATTTCAATAAATGTTTAAAAGTAATATCATCCTAATGGTGTGAGAAAACGTCTTTCTTACTCTCACACAAGAAAAAATGATTGCTAGGATCTTTGTTGGGTACAAATACTAATAGTTGGATGGCACACCAGAAGGATCTTTGGTTATTTCCACTGAACATAATTCATAATCATCATAATATTATATTCATCACTTGAAATTTTGCAGGCTTTAAATTGTGAATATTTTGTAATAACGTGGACAATGCTTGTGCTAAAATTAGCATGCAAATGATACAAATGTGTTTAATACAATGTGCAAAAAAATCCTTTTACATGAAATTTCGGGAAAGGAAATACATAAAAATTTTAATAGTGGTTTACCTTTGGGTGGTAGGGTTATGTGTGGGTTACTATTGTCATATTTCTTCTCTCTATATTACAGAATGTTATGAGAGGATGTATTACTTTCATAGAGAAAAACTTTATTAAAAATTTTTAATAATAATAAATTCTGGAAATCTTTTTTCTCCTATTAAAAAAGATAGGCTCAAATAATAACTGCAATAATCACCACATATCCTGCCCCCAAGAAAAAAAAAAAAGAAAGAAAGAAAAGCTTAACAAATTGTACACATTATGTGTTATTGGAATTTTCTTTCTTTATCACAGTTTTCCCAGAGCACACTGATGCTCTCAATTCTAAGAATTAGGCCTGTATAAATAATAGTGTGACTATCGTTGGTGGCTGTCAGGAAGACTAGTCTAGTCACAGGCATGGAAAATTCTTCTGATCTTAAACTGCCTAAGAATCAGAAGATAGACTTTTAAAAATCCTGACACTATATTAGCTGTCAAGCTAATTTAATGAGTTGATAGAGGAAATAGCCATATCTGTCTGTATTTTTACCTTCCACTTCCCTAATAGGAGTAATAGATTGAAAAAGGGGGTCTCTGCGGCTCTTTCCGGCGTCAACATTTTGTTACTTGTGCTCTTCTCTTCTGTATACACATAACCCTAAGAAAATGTCATAATCTTTTAGGCCTCGTTTTGAGGATGTTAAATGTACTGATCTCTAATATTCCTTCTGGCCACGGAAGCATGTGGTTTATTCAGGGTATTAAATGTTGTGGCAGAACCTGAAGAGATTAGAGTAGTAAAATGACGAAAATGCCTTTCCAGTGTCAGTATTTACAAGGTCAGTCCAAATTCTCTAAGTGCCTTCCTCCTTATCCTGTCTGATATTATCAAAAGGCTTGGAACTTGGTGTGCAGTTACTCTTAGCTCCTCTTCTAGAAACAGGAAACTGTGGTCTTTGAGCTGCTTTTCTAAGTAAGCTCAAGGCTTCCCTGCTCTCGGTGTTTAACCCTGACTGGCTGTATCCCTGACACAGACTCATAAGTGAAGACTTAGATGATAACTAGTATGAAGGATCCACCGTTGTCTAGAAGTTGCTCTCCCAAGATAACGATGTGAAACATTCTGGTTATATCTATTGCATTGTGTGACCATGTGAGCTTTTCATCTATTATTCTAACTAAATTTAATTGTATATCTACATTCTGTAGGTGGTGAAGTCTATCTTAATGTGAAATAATGACATTTCTAGGGGAAAAAGTATAGATATTATAAATCATCTTTAAATGGATATGAGTTTTTTTGTGTTTCTGCCTTTTAATGCCAATCTTTGAGCAAGTCACTAAAACTCTCCAGTCACTCAGTTCCTTACATCAGTCAGGGCCAAGGAGTAAAAGGGCTGGAACTGATAACTTACGATACCTCCCTCCCGGGGTTGTTCTGAGAAACAAATGAGGCACATGAAAAAATCTTAAACCAGAAAGCATTATCCACATGTTTGTTAATGTTAGCTGTTGGCATTGTCAAGCTCATTGGGCCAAATGCATCTCACTTACTTAATTTTTGAATCATCATATTTAAAAGTTTTAGTAAAATAGAATTTTCCTTCCATATGTTAATGAGGAAATTGCATTAATGTGCTTATTGGTGTTAACTGGCTTTGCTTTCCCGAAGTAGGCCATTCTATGCCATAGTTTGTCTTTTTCATTTTAAAAATTTCAGATAAAGCGTCTAAGACTGTACATTTACCCCCAAGGTTTAGCTCTATCTTACAAGTTTCAATACATAGTACTTTGTTTCAAATGTCATTAAAGGTATATTGTGATTTATAGTAAAACCCATATGTTTCATAGAAGAAAGTTTTTGAATTTTATAGATCCCTGCTCCTTGTCATTATATCTTTAATTGCTTTTTCAATTTGCTATTCTTTAGTTGAAGAATCCAGGTAATCTGTCTTATGGAGTTTTCTACATTCAGAATTTTGTTGATTATATCCTGTTGTGTCATTTGATGTTTCTTCATCCCCTCTATTTCCTACAAATTTATGGTTCAATCTAGAGATTTCTAAGATTTTGGTGAGAGACTTTTGGCAAGAACACTTCACGGGACATTGCATGCTTACTTTAGCAAACACATGATGACAAGTTATTTGTCTGATGTTAGCCATCTATGATCATTGCCTGCCTCTTACTGAGGTGTTGAAAAATGGTGATAATCTATAACAAATATTTCTTTAATGATCAGCTCAGATACCGCTAAAAAAGTAAACATTCCTGTGTCAGCTATTTGACTATGAAGGTAGAATTCAGTTAGAAGGGTGGAATAAAATTGGATTCTTTTGTCTTCCTCAGTTTTTAAGATAACAGGCTCATTCTCTAGCATTACACGAAGGTGGACAATGAGGATGAATTATTTTTTCAGGATTATCAGGAATGTATAGCATTGAACAAATGTGTTATGTTTCAAGTTAGTTACTCTTACAATGCCCAAACCGGCGTGATTTTTTGCCAGTAGAAACCATCTCAGGTCCCTGAGTACTTTTTGACGTGACTCTAGTAGAGTTTGATGTAATAGCTTCCTTTCTGCTGTGACAAGATATTCCAAACTTACATTCATTTCTATCATCAAAAGATCAACCATTCTCAAGAAATCATGGTTCCTTTTAATGGAAGATGGAATTTAGAGATAGACTGGGCTCGGGTGGCTCAGTGCTACTAGTTTTGTCATTGTTTGTAAGACCTGTTAATTGAGTCCTAAGAAATTCCTTTTGGAAAATTTTAAAGAAGTATTACATATGCAACCTTAAGGTGTGACGTTTGCCCTTCTAGTTAAAGTAGGGTTTCCCGATTTTTGTACTGTTAAGATCTGAGGTCGGGTGATTCTTTGCTGTTGGGGCTGCCTGGCATTTGCACTGAGTTTAGCCTCATCATTGCCCTCTGCACAGCAAATGCCAGTGGCACTTTCTCCTAAGCTCCCTTCCAGTTGTGACAACCAAAATTATCCCCAGAAATTATCCAGTGCCCTTTAGAGGGCAAAAAAGCACCCAATTGAGACCCACCAGATTAAAGAAATAACTATTACGAAACATTTAACGAAGTACTAAGTAATTATAAGGAGAACAAAATATTCCATGATAATTTAGCTTTAAAAATTATAATCAAACAAGGGACAAACTATATGAGAGAAACTTCATATTCATTTGGGGTACCCAATGCTTATGTAAATAAGGGATATTTTAACATTTTTTTACTAAAATATTAACAACCAAAATTATCAGATATGTAAATAAGTGATATTTTAACATTTTTTTACTAAAATATTGACAGCCAAAATTGTGACGACAAAAGCTAATCGTAGTAGCTAATGTTTATTTATTGGTAATCGACTATGTGCCAGATACTATTACTAAACTCTTTATGTGGGTTATCTCATTTATCTCGTTTCTAATAGAGAGAAACAAAAATGCTTATGATTTAGCCAAAATACCCTTTTTTTAATTGGGGCAAAAAATCATTTACCCAAAATCATTTACTTCAAAGTTATTATGTATAGAACACAGACTGTGACTCACCAAGCCTGGAGCATATGTCCCAGATCTGTTATTTCCCAGTCGTTGGCCCTGATTATTTCTCTTCGTTTCTTTGAGCTTCAGTTTCCTCTGCAGTGAAATAAGAATAATATTTTCTTGTTGCTTTAAGAATTTAATAGGCTCTAAGGTACTTAGCAGAGTTCCTGGTTTGTAGACTATAATTAGGAACTTTGATTATTAGATACATTTTTAAAGGAAAAGCAAAAGAAGAAAATCTTGCAAGTGAACATTCAATCCAAGGTACAAAAGTAAGATGCTTTTCTTCTATTTTAGAATCCTGCCAAATATCTCAAAACCTAGACATTATGAAGGACAAGGAAAACAAAGGATTTTTCAGCTTTTTTCAACGCAGTAAGAAAAAGCGGGAGCAAGTAAGCATGTAACGTTTTATGAGATTCTTCACATTGTTTTAATTACAAGTGCTTTGTATCTGGGAATTACATACAGAGTGTACCTTTAATTCCTTATTAGACGGCAAGTGCTCCTGCAACCCCGCTAATAAATAAGCACCGCCCGACTTTTATGAGGTCCAATACCGTTTCGAAACCATATGTTTCAAACACCCTACCGTCAGATGCACCCAAGAAGAGGCGGGCTCCGTTGCCCCCCATGCCAGCGTCTCAGAGCGTCCCCCAGGACCTTGCACAGGCCCAGGAGAGTCCAGCTTCTTGTGTAGTGAAATCCATGAGTGTGGATGAAACAGATAAGGTGCGTAGTTTTGCTCTTTTCATTTTTGTTGTAAGTTTTATTTCGTTTCTAGTTATAGTGGATACATAACAGTTGTATGTATTTGGGGGTTCCTGTGATGTTCCGATGCAGGCATACAACACATAATTACCAAGTCAGAGTAACTGGGGTGCCAGTACCTTACATGTTTATTGTTCCTGTGTGTTAGCAACATTCCAATTCCACTCTTTCAGTTACTTTAAAAGATACAATAAATTACTGTTACCTGTAGTCACCCTGCTGTCCTACAGAATACTAGATCTACCTTCATTCTGTCTACCTAAATGAAGGCCATCTAGTTTTCCTGTTACCTAACTTGTCTTTTCCACATAAGCTACTAAGAAATAGTCCTAATAATAGTAATTAGCTAGAGTTACTGATATGTAATAAGATGAATTAGTTATGAATTAGTTATACGTAATAAGATGAATTAGTTATTAATAAGTTGGTATTGGGGAGGTCCTCTCTCTATACATATACACTTATGTGATGCATATGATGCAATAAAAAAGTGTCAGTTTGAAGTAGCTTTAATATTCAAGCAAATAATTATCCATAAATCCAATGTCTTGATTTGCTAAGCCCCGACCATGGGCACTTGCTTAATGTACACATTAGAAATGAACTATACTGCTTGTTTTTAATAGTTTTCTTCTTAAAAAACACCAACACGGTCTTTGTATTGTGTTCTTGAGTTGCTAACTACATGTATCTCCTTGACCGAAATCCTGATTTCTAGGCCAGGCACGGTGGCTCATGCCTATAATCCTAGCACTTGGGAGGACAAGGCAGGTGGATTGCCTGAGCTCACAGGTTCAAGACCAGCCTGAGCCAGAGCGGGACCTTGTCTCAAAAAGTAGCCAGGCATTGTGGGGGCACATATAGGCCCAACTTCTTGGGAGGCTGAGGTGAGAGATGCTTGAGCCCAGGAGTTTGAGATTGCTGAGGGATATGATGCTACAGCACTCTACCATGGGTGACAAAGTGAGACTCTGTCTCCAAAAAAAAAAAAAAATCCTGATTTCTACCTGGTCCATAGACACTCTGTAGCAAGAAAAGAAAATTAGCCTTTTTAAAATGTATTCCAGTTAACTTTACAAACGCCTATCTTCAAAACACTGTTCTAGGTGTACCTTTTCATCAAAATTTCTTACTATTCACCTTGAATCCCAAATTTTTCCCAAGTGTGCAATTTTGTGGGGTTTTTTGTTTTTTTTTTTTTTGAGACAGAGCCTCAAGCTGTCACCCTGGGTAGAGTGCCATGGCTTCACTGGTCACAGTAACCTCCAACTCCTGGGCTCAAGCGAGTCTCCTGCCTCAGCCTCCCAAGTAGCTGGGACCACAGGTGCCCGCCACAATGCCCGGCTATTTTTTGATTGCAGCCATTATTGTCGTTTGGCGGGTCCGGGCTGGATTTGAACCTGCCACCTTAGGTGTATGTGGCTGGCGCCTTAGCCGCTTGAGCCACAGGCGCTGAGCCCAAGTGTGCAATTTTGCAGGGATCCATTTGCATACCACTTCTCAAGATTAAACCATCTGAATATGCCTTGCTTTATATGAAATATAAATGAATTTTTAGGTAAATGTGATTCAACATAAGACCATATATTTTGTTGTTTGTAATTGGGCAGTATGTTTTAAGTAACTTTGAGAGCAAAATTTATTTTGAGGTATTTGAGAAACTGAACTGTTCCTGTGTCAAGTTAAAGGATTTCCCTCCCCACCCCTGCCTTGGAAGCTTAGTAAATTCAATGCTCAGGTAAATTAACTCCTCCTAAGCACCTAATGAACACTTCTGTGCCTCCATAACTTTTTTTTGGTAGAGTGCAGTGGTGTCATCATAGCTTACAGCAACCTTAAGGCCTTGGGCTCAAGCAATCCTCTTTGCCTCAGCCTCTCGAGTAGGTACAACTACAGGTGTGCACCACCATGCCCAGCTAATTTTTCTATGCTTGGTAGAAACAAGGTCTTACTCCTGCTCAAGCTCCTCTCAGACTACTGAGCTCAAGCAATCCACTGGCCTTGCGCTCCCAGAGTGCTAGGATTACAGGCTTGAGCTGCCACATCCAGCCCACATACTTCCTTAACTTGAACAAAAAAAAAACCATAGTTTTGAATTTAGTTTATAAATGAACTTGAACAAAAAAAAAAAAAAAAAACAACCATAGTTTTGAATTTAGTTTATAAATGATCATGTATCTTTAGAAAGTAAATAGCAACTCAAAAACTACATAGAAATGAGTTTTAGAAATACTTAATCTCAGTAGTTATTTGGAAATCATCTATTAAGCTGTCTTATTAAGGTTTGTTTCACATGAAAGACTCATGTACTGCCAAAGTTTTCCAGGGTAACTGTTTGGTAGTTGGGCGAAGCTTCACAGAACAGGTGATGCCTAAGGTCAGTCTTATGATGCGTACGGACGTGCAGCTGTTATGTGAAAAAACCCTGTTCAGAGATACAGGAATGTGGCAAGAACAAGAAATAGATTGAAACTTAGTGAGCTAAGCGGGGCAAGTCTGGGTTCCTAAGACTTCATTTTGTACTTGGAGCTCCTTTACTTTCTTCATAATAAAAAGTAGCATTTTCAGGATTGTTTTATATTTTTAAGTACCATAAAACTACCTCTTAAGAGTGTAAATTATTATAATCCCAAGTAGCTATGAAAGTCTATCCTTTTTTTAATATAGAAATTAATCTTAGCCCCCACTCACGAGTCTTTCTGCCAGCTGTCCCCGTCCAATCTATTCCAGCAAACTTCCTTTTGTGCCTGGATCCTCAGGGGGTCTATGTTGTCTTTCTAATAGTCTATTTCTTAAAATTCTGGGCTGTGCTACCAGTGACCTCATCAAAGCTATTTCTTTTGATTTCTCACCCTCTGCTCTATGACCACCGGGTGCCCCCATGTTAAGTAATCTTTTATAAAAGTATGTTGCCTTTGGCAAACCACACATCTTTATACAATTTTCTAATTATTTTTTTCTTTTGATCTCGACATCTGGTTAGCTCTTTGATGTATTGTTCAGTAGGACGAAGAATTATTTGTTTTTCCCTAGAGAAGATGAAGAAGCATTTTTTATTTATTCATTACAAAAATTCTGAATGGTTCAGCCGTGGGTCTGTTTGTATGCATGTGTGTGTGCATGCACACACGTGAGTTCATCCCTTCCTCGGCAGCCCAGACTTCATTTCCTTAACTTCGTGGCCACATCGATGTGAATAATCACTCCTGGGTCTTGATTTTCCTTTTTCCTTGGTCTTAGTACTTTTCTTATATCTCTACCCTCTTCGTGTTTTTTTCTTTTTTCCTTTGCCACTACTTCCTTTACCTATTTTCTAAATCTGAAGATACTGAATCCTTGGCTCTCAGCCTGTATTTACTGCACTCTTTCAAAGACATCTATTCTTTTTTGAGTTCATGGGCTAATGGTTCTCAGCTGTGGTGGTTTGAATAGTGTCCCTTGCCCTAGAAGATGCATCCTTGTCCTCACCCATCAAACCTGTGAGTGTGACCTTGTTTAGAAATAGTTTTTCGGATGTAATGAAGGTAAGGATCTAAAGGTGAGACGATGAGATCAGGAGAGAAGACGCACACGGGCACAGTGACGCAGAAGATAAATCTGAGATTGACCTCAGGATGCCACAGCCGGGGAATGCCAGGAGCCACAAAAAGATGGGAATAGACAAGGGAGGATTTTCCCCTACTATTTTCAAAAGAAGGATGGTCCTGCCCACACCTTGACTTGTGTCCTTCAGAAACCGTGGAAGAATAAGTTTCTATTGTTTTAAGCCGCCCAGTCATTGTAGGCAGCCCTAGGACAGGGATACATCAACTTTGTGTTTCTCATACCAGTATTCTTCCAGTTCGTTTGAATCGCCTAGTGCCTCATCACTACCTGGACTACAGCAGATTTTAAGACCAAACTGGTTTTTTTTTTTCTTTCCCAGACTAAAGAGCTCAAAATTATCTTTGATGTCCTTTATTTTCTCACTTTTAATTAGAGACCCAAACTTCATTCAGTCTTTCTTCATAATGTCTTCCATTCCCTAGGCTACGTTATTCCTGAAGAAATCTAGGGCAGTTACTGTTATTGTGACATTTATATATTTTTTTAATTATCACTTCCCAGTTCAGAAACTTTGGAGAGCTGTCTGTGATTTTGGGGGGCCTTCAAGTTACTCTACAAACTAATCACACTTTTACTTTTAAAAGGTAGTTCCTCATCATTTTTAGGATGCTTCTAACTAAAACCAGAAGATTTGACTCACTGTGGCTAATGCAAAATCTTGCTCCCTACCTTTTCAGAATGGAATGATCCCACCTATATCTTTCCAAAGATAATAGATGCATGTATAAGCCAATATTCATGCTACATATTTTTTTTTGCCAGGTGTTCATATGCTATATATATTGTAATATCTCACTTTTTGGAGTGAAATGATTTAATTTGGATATCCTTATCACTGTATAAAAGGCTTCCCCTTTTTAATGATTGCATAATATTATGTTGATAGATATAACATGACTTAGTTACCTCATCCTCTAAAGATAGATATTAGGGTTATATTATTATTTAAGCTTTGTATCATTATTTAATTTTTGTGTTTTTCTTCTCCTCAGTGTTCCCCAACAAAATTCTGTAACATAGTAGGTGTTCAAGGGAATTGATAAGTAACAATTAACCACAGTTTTTATGTACTATATATAAGGAAAATGTCTGTCATATTTATATCATAAAATTTTTGTATTTCATTTGTATATCTGGTTAATTTTTCAGAAGTTCCTGGGTAACTTAAATATTGTTTATATTTCTTTTTGTAGTCATCAAACCACATAATTTTAGATGTATTTTTCTTAAGATTTTACAAAAAAGTCAGAATTTTGGTAAGGTTGTGTTGAAAAGTTGAATATCAATAACTAAAACATGCTATATATTACATAATGCATATAAATGTTTGAAATTGTTTATAACAACAGGTTTAG